AAAGCAGTAGCAAATGCACTTTAACTTTACAAGAACACCTTCTGAATCATGTGGAGCTTGGCGTTAATAATTTTAAATCAGAAAGAGGAAAGGCATTAGCAGATACATTTGCAAGAACTCCGTATTTCAAATAGTAATTTTATATAATTTATTTTCTAATATTAAAGTCGAAAAAAGCTCCATTAACCCATTAAATATAATACTTTCAACTGTATTGCTGTCATTATTTGGATACAAACTTATACATCTTTGAACTGCGATGATTTTGGCTTTATCATGAACCTAGTAGTTATATTAAATTTTGTGACATATAATTAATCTAGAAATATGATTCAAACAACCAAATATTCTTTGATCACAATATTTACGAACAAATAAAATTCGATTATTAATAATGAAATAATCAAAACTTTCAGGTGAAACAGTCCCGAATTTAAAATTTAACAATCATTATATATGTATTGCAGTATCACTCGCTCCATAAAATTAGAGGCATTTTGTACAATTATCTTGCAATACGTTGATCAAAATCGTGTACAACTTGGTGCACAAATCACTTTTAAAGCCTTGTATTTAACCAAAAAGGAAATGTAATATCACCTATGCTAAGAAATAATTTGGTTTAAAAACTATATAAGAAATATGCTAGCTTGTAGGAGTAATTACTGGGAAATCAAAACTCGTTAGGGATGTTCTATAGAATAAGGTGGGCAAACTCCGCAAACTCCGCAACTCCGCTATTAAAAAATTAATGATTACTAATCATTAGCGAAGCTTATTTCTTATATTGCCCACCTATTCTATAGAATATCCCTTGTGAGAGTCGAAATGAAATCAAAAATTCATATTTTTAACTATATCAGAAATCCGATTAATTTATTAACAAGTTGTAAAAGTTGGTCTAACATTGCCAAAGACAATCAGACAAAAACAGAATGGATTATTTGTAATTATGGTCAAGCACACGCATTTTTTCATGCAGTTAGATTAGGGCCAACTTTTATTAATCTCTCTGTCGCACGTCCTATCATCATAAAACGCGGAATTCTTTCTAGATATTTTATTCAACGGCTCATTTCCCACTTCAGAAATTATGATCCAATACTAATTGAATTGAAAATTAGATACGAATTTAGGTCAATCGGCATCGAACGATTTAAATCGTTGCAGAAAAAAAGTTCATACCGTATTTTCGCTGAATAACGCTCATGAGCGTTATTTCGAAAATTGCGCCCCTAAAAATAACATATATAGCTTCAAAATAACGCCCATGCGCGTCCCGAAATAACGCGCATCTTATAGTAAGGGCTGCTAATTTAAAACAAATGCACCGGAACTAGATTCACTTAGTATCAACTAGAGATGCTGGTGAAACTGGCGAAACTCTTGGTGAATGGTGGTGAATGGTGGTGAAACTGGTGAAACTTAATATAATAGCCAATTAGATTTTAGATAGTCATCAGTTTCACCAGCAACCCTAATATCAACCTAGCTCCGGAACATTTTTGTTTTAGACAAGATGCTTAAAATTTTTACATTTGTCTCAAAATAACGCCCATGCGCGTACTCAAAATAACGCGCAGATGAGCGAAAATACGGTACACCTTGAACGAGTAAATTACAATTATCAGTTTTTATTTACTTACTAGAAGAAGCGTCAAACAATTTGGGTCACATGATTTTCAGAAATATGATATGGAACATTTTCATAGTCTCTCAGCAGCTCCAGACATTAAACATTTATTATTGCACAAAAAATTCATTCATTACCTTCCAATCCATCTCTTCCAAGACCGTACAGACAACTTGAAACTTATTACATACAATTCTATTATGTGATGATTTGAAAAGAGATTGGTTATTATAAAATATGTGATAACACAAATGACCTAGTAATGCGAGGTGCGTTATTAATCCTATGTCGAGATCAACCAAATGATAAAGCTATTGTTGAAAAAGTTATGAGATTAATCTCAATTTTAAACCAATTTATTTGGTTATTAGTGACATTCTTTATCTTTTTGAATGTAAATTGATGAAATTATTTATGTATATTAAAGGAGAATCACATGAAAATTTTTAAATCATTGTCTAGTTGAATCATTAAGATTTGAACATAATACTAAAAATCATTTTGTATGATTTTCTCTATACACTAACAAATAATGATTCCGAAATTATATTTATCAACACATGTAACCATTATTAGAACAAAAAATGTAGATTTAAACATTCCAATTACATACTATCAAAGTTTTATATTTGGATTCTGACAAAATTCAGAGTGAACGTGAAAATTACGGAACTTTGTTTTGAAAACATATTAAAAACACGAATTAATGTTTGATAAACAGCTCCAACAGACCCCCAACATTAAAATCCCAATTGAAATGAATCCAACCGTATTCTATGAGCTTTCTGGTGCTCTAAGAGCATATAATGAAACTAAAAGCTTTTACTTGTCATTACATTTGAATATAATCTCTCAATACGAGATCACGGAAATTTTGGTGCCATTATTTAAATGCCATCTACCTAAGTTATTTAAGGAAAATATAAGCAACAATATGTTACAGGAGTGGATATATGTTAATTTATAATAATTTAGATAAATCAACCGAGATGTTTAAAAAGTATGCTTTTAATTTTATTAAAGAAACATGCATAATGACTAATATGTTACAGGAGTGGATATATGTTAATTTATAATAATTTAGATATTTTATTAAAGAAACATGCATAATGACTAATATACCATTAGTCACTGCTTACTGTATTCCTCAAAAATAATACTCTCATAAGACCCCGGATACTGTATGCAGTGGTCAACGGTAATGGCATTTTAAAGGTTATCTTGTAGAGAATATTCAATTTAGAGATTTGCTATTTATCACTACTGGTGATCATCACCAGTATGGATTATGTAGTGATGTTCGTGTATTTGATTTAGAGTTGGTATAATAAGAGGGTAAATAAAACCAAGGGTAAGAAATAAATATGTATTGGGATCTTTACTATGCCCATAAGATCATTTTCAAGGCAAAACCCATATAATTGAGTAACTATAGAACTATGTTATTGATTAAATATTACTTCTGTTAATAAAAAATGCCTTCGCGCAAACTTTAATAACTTCTGATATATTAATTTTTTTTTTTAATTCCGTGATTTGATATTTATTAAAGTAATAACCGCATATTTTAAACATAAAAAAAATCTTCGCTTAATATTTGGATTATATACTATATACTGTACTATTCGTTCATAAGCATTATATCACTCAAATATCAATTAATATGAATTATTAAATGCTTTTGTTAAAGTATTACCATATTTTCGCGGAATAATACTTGAGCGTTATTTCGAAAATTGCGTCCCCAAAAATAACATTAATAACATATATAGCTTCAAAATAACGCATCTTATAATAAGGTACTTATCGTATTTACAAAAAATGCTCTGTAACTAGGTTTACTTAGTATCAACCTAGCTCCGTATGCAAAATGTTCAAAATTTTTACATTTGTCTCAAAATAACGCCCATGCGCGTACTCAAAATAACGCGTTATTCCGCGAAAATACGATATATAATTTCTATATACATTATATTTAAAACATGCGGTTACTACTTAACGGAGGCACTCTTAAATCAACTTGCGAAATTAAAAATTAACAGCAAAAATTAATAAAGTTTGCACGATGACATTTTTTATTAATAATTTATTATGAATCGAGAATTTTAAAATTTTACTAATGATTTTTACTATATGTCTTGCTCTAAGTTTGTAATTAAACTGAAGCAAGCGAAAGTTATTTGATAATTGCTAATTACCAATTAAAACATTTGAAACCCGCTCGGCGTGGACATATATCAGATTGTTATTTTTTTTTTTTATTAGAATAAACCAATAACCATCACCTATATAAATATTAATTTTCTACAATATTCTTAAATAAAAACCCAGGTTCACCAGGGATCGCTAATTCGATTGCTCTTTTTTCTTCTTCCTCCTTTGCTTCATCCTCTCTTAAAACTTTTACATCAACATACCCTAGACTACGCTGCAAATATTCTTTAGACGTCACGAGAGCATCATGCTCATTAAACAATAATGCTCTGTTAAACGCTACCGTGCCAAATTTTTCCACCCGTTTTTTGAACTCTTGAACGAATGGCATAGTCTTTTTATTCTTCAAAATTCCTTTTTCTGATAAATATTCTCTAATTTTAACATCATCAAACGATTTCGTGTCCTACATAACATATTAAAATGAATAAACATGATTCAACTCATCCTGAAAGATTGTAATATAATACAAACCTCATTGAAATTCTGTTTTAACGCTTCAACAACAATATCTTGCCATTCCGGAAAACTTGTTGCAATAAATATTTTAAGTGTTTTAGGTTTGTTTGGGTCAAAATCTTCTGCTTTACCTTTCTTCTTTTTCTTTTGTGATGCAATTTCTAAATCACGTATTGATTTAATTATTTTTCGAACATATTCTGCTGCTTCAAGTAAACTTTCGTCGACTGAGTGTGAAGGTTTCGGAAAAGGTGCATTAATGATAAAGCCTTTCTATTATTTTAACAATATACATAATCAGTTAAAGATCAATTAGTAATAACGTGAATAACAATTGAATATACAATTAAATACCTTCGATAGAATTTCGCTCCAAACATATTCAGACCAATGTGGAGCAATTGGTGATAGTAATAATGCTTGTACTTCTATCCATCGCAAGATCAGATCTTTGTGCATTCCTTCGTTCGCTGTGGCTTCACGATACCAATCACGCGCAGTTTGAAGCTCATAAAATCCGTATTTAAGTGCATCACGATAAAAGGCGCTTTTATTATATCAAACGAATTATAATGATTAATTAAGTTACAATAATGTAAATGATTATGCTCAAGAATTTGTTTCCATCACTTACTCTTCATAAGCTTTGTCAGTTTGTTGAATTAATTTATTAATCTCATTCTCAAACGCACGGTCATGGAAACTATCTGTCGGACCCATGCGAAGATTATCTTGATTTTTAACTTGTTCCTAATAAGATAAATTGATTTATTTTTGTGAATTGCACGAATTGAAATGATTCTCGGCGTCGGAAATTTGTACAAACCTCGCACCATTCTTTCAGTGTAAATAACCTTAAAATTGCCGCATTAGCGGTGGATTCTTCAAAGTTAGCATCCTCAATTGAATCACCCGCATCTGCTAGAGTAAGTCTAGTAGCATCAGCACCATATTTCTCCACTGCTTCTGCAACGATCATAAAATTGCCACTACTTTTACTCATCTTTTCACCATTTATTTGCAAATGGCCATTTGATCTTACACCACGAGGCCAATTGTGTTCGGGGAAAATAGCAACATGATTATAAATAAAGAATGTTAAATGATTTGGAATCAAATCCTTTCCAGAAACTCTTAGATCTAAAGGATAAAAATATTTGAACTCTCGTTTCAATTTATCAAGTTTTTCCTGTGTGATTGAGGACGTTGTTGGAAATGGTCCATCACAAAATATATATTCCCAAACTTGATCTGTCATTTCTGAAGCCTGAATTCCGAGTGGTCCCGGCTTCGATCCATCAAGAGTACCACCTAATTCCACATGAAATCGACTTTAGAATAAAGCTATTACATAATTGATCATCAAATATAATTATTATAAGTATACTACTTACCATGCAATAAATGTGTAACTGTATAATATGCCATATATATCGTGGAATCGGACAAACTTTCCACTAAATATTGAGGATCCCACGGTAATCTTGATCCAAGACCATAAGACCTAGCGCAAGCCCATTTATTTAACCAAGCAAGGGTTTGTTCGAACTGGTGCCTTGTCTCAGTGCCATATGTATTTAATTTTTTTAAACAGTTTTCGGCCTGCTTCCTCCATTCTTCTTCACCATAATCCAGATACCATTGGTCACATAATGCTACAACACATTCGTCACCAGATCGAGACATTACAAGACCTTCTGGTTCATTATATACAAATCCTTGGCCGGTGGAAACCAATAAATTTTTAACCAGAGGTTTCGCTTCTTGAACTTGTTTACCCTTGTAATCACCAACTAACATAATACCATTATAAAACCCTTCTTTATATACTATCTCCTTGGCTTCAGCTAATTGTACTCGATCTTTTTGGGAATTAATCTTCTTTTGCTGACACACTGTTGGTGCGGCTAAATTACCATATGCCGGCGTATCTATAATAGGAACAGGATCGAAAGCTGCCCACGAAGGATCAATTTTATAATAATCAGGTTTCTTCTTGAGATCTTGAAGCGCTGTATAATCATCAGGAGAATCCGAAGGTACAGAGGTGACAACACCTGTACCCTTTGTAGCTAAAACATTCTCCATTGGCAAGATATAGACGCGTTCATATACACTTAATGGAGCTTTCACTTTAGTACCGATTAAAGCGGTACCTTTAATTTCAGCTAATTGATGAACTACGCCACGTTCGCTAGAAAAACCTTGAAATGCCATATTACGGGCAGCACGATAAGTGCATAAAAATACGTCTGTCTCATTTATTTTATAAAGGCCATAAGTTAGGCCAGTTCCAACAAAACAATTTGTCTGACCATACCTTATGAACAATAAGGTGAAAAATATATGAAATAAAAAAAAAATTGAAAAATAATACAATAGATAAAATCTTTTGACAAACTTACATTGTTTCAGGCCTCAAAGTAGCAGCGATGAAATATATATGTTTGTCTTTTAATTCCTCAATTGAACCTAAAACATTTTGAGCCTCTTTACTCCATTCTATAACTTGAAGTTTAATTCCAGTATATTCTTGTGGACCAACACCTTCACCACTTTGCCGATCATGATCCATGCAGGGTTGACCATCAAATGGTGAATATATAGTATATCGTTCACCAAATTTCACCTTGTTAAGATCCTTTAATTTTCTCATTTGCCACTGAACAAAAGAATCATAATAAGGATTTACATCAGTGGTAAGAAAGGATCTACGCCAATCAATTTTAGCGCCAATAGATTTGCAATCATTCTAAAAAAATAAAATAAAATCAAGAGTCCATGGAAAAAATAAATAAATGAAATAAAATAAATAGGATTCTAATATAAACAAAAGTGAAAATTAATACTAACAATGGCCAATGGGGGGAAATAATAAAGCCAATGATTTGAGTCCGAGAATTTCGCAATCTCATTATAAGGCACACCCATACTCTGCATTATTTGAAATTGATATTTCAGATCCGTCGACTTTGCAGCAACTTTGCCCTTTTTGCTAGACACTTTATTAGAAGGATCTTGTGATTTAATAGCATTATCATCATTCAATTCTAAATTTTTGACACTTTCTTCTAGATTATTTTGATCTGGTATTTTAAACTCAGGTCCAAACTGTTCGATTTCACGAGATAGTTTATCGGCACAAGCCTATATATACCGATTCGTTGTTTCAGGTATTAACAGAAAATTCATTATTCCAAAAACAAACAAATTCGGAATATCTACCTTAATTGGCATACCAGTACAATGAAAACCTAAAGGAAATAAAGCTCTCTTTCCTTTCATTCGTTCATAGCCGGTGGCAAACTCAACTTTTGTAATGGTGAAAAGATGGCCTAAATGCAATCTTCCATTCATGTAGGGATATGGGAAAGTTCCCATATGTTTTGGATACTTTTCATGTAAAATAGAATCATCGGGCTCTTCCTCAATTGTGGGTGCATTAATCTCAAACGCATGTTCATTTTCCCATAATTGCAGAACTTTTTGTTCTATAGCCCGTAAGGTATCGCGCTTAACAGTCTATTTTTGGATAATCAAATAAAATGTGTGATAAGTTTAAAAATTATCGAGGAAAATAAAAAAAAATTATTATACTTTTTTGGGTTCTTCCACGGCTTTTGTTACAACAGTCGCCATGATAAAAAAAAACTCACGTATTTAGCATTAAAATCGCCGTTTTTATCTGTGATGGATGAGTTATATCTGTATATATAGTGAGTCACTATTCAACTGCGGATATCCGAGGATGATATATCCGCAGTTGAATAGTTTGAGTGACTCACTATGTATCAAAATGCGCATTTTGGCATGATGCGCATGATGTGCATGATTGGGCTCGGCATGGTAAAATACGTCATACATTAATGTTTCGGCACCCAGAAAATGTGTACCAGGTTGGGATCGGATGATAGTCCGGATGGTGGTCCGGATGATGGTCCGGAAATTAAGTCTTCGACTATTCTTTTCTAACGATGACTTTATTTTTCACGATCATATAAAGCTTGAAGTTTGACATTCTAAAACTATAACTCTAGTTAGTTGATTTCTATTTAATCATTTGGCTTTAGTTTATTTGTTTAGCCATTTGGTTGGTTTTTTAGTGACGTTCTTCAATAAATTATGTACAGTCGACTCTGGATATAATGAGCTCAAAATTTTGGACTTTCATAATAGTTCGATATAAAAAGTGCCATGTGTTTTTAATAAAATTTAGTAATTTTTATAACGAATTTTTTTTTTCCAGAATCTTTTCTTTATAGAAAGAGTTGACTGCACTCTTTTGTGGTTAATCTTTTATTATACCTCTTCTTTTTAGATTAATGTTTTTTTTTTTGTACACGAATTTTTTTAAATTGATGAGGCAGAACTCTAATTTTTGACCTATTTCAACTGCGATAAGGAAACTTGTCAAAATAAATAACGCATTAACTTTTCCATCGTTAATTATATATCCTTTTTCGAAATATTCCATGTTGTAAAGAAGTTAGTTAATATCACCAATGATACGTTTAAAAAACTTTTTAATAGGCATTATATGCTTATTTAGATCTTTATCGTTATGTAATTTTTAAATAAATTTGAACAATTATGAATAAAATACAACAAATTTCAATATCATCTTTAAATGGCTGAACATTGCAATTTTCAACCTGATACTTATAAGCTAACGGAAATATTTGCTGAAGTGACATAGGTAGGTTTGATATATTCAATGTTTTTTAGGTTTCAATTTGATAGTTTCTTGGAATTAACAAAATAATAGTCTACTCACAACATTAAAAACTTGTTTGTCTGTAACATGTTTTTGTTTCTCTCAATTTTTTTTATTTTTTTTGTTTTTTTGTTTTTTGCAGGAAGAAACAACAAACGAAAAATCTTATGCTAAGTTAACGTTAATGACAATATCGATTATTAACTTTTTATGTGAGTATGTAATGTTTAACATTAAGAAATACGTAATTTCCGAATGTTCTTATCATTCCGACCTATCTTTCCAGACGATCATCCGATCCCAACATGGTACACATGTTCTGGGTGCAATGTTTCATCGTAACACTGCAATTATTGGATCGTGATTATCATTATTGCACGCAGGCATGGCATGATACTGCGGCCGCCCGTCTCTAGATACGGCGTAGGGCCGCCGATTTTCTACATGTGCAAATATGTACATATTTGGTCACGTTTTATGTATATCATATGGGCACATATGCCGCTGTATTTTTTTTAAAACTTCCAGCGATGGTTTCTCAGCGACTACTGGGTCAAATTTGGTAATTTTTTTTTTATTTTAATCCTATAAACTTGTAGAATGAAAATAAAAAAAAAAAAAAAATTATTAAATTGGTCTGGTAGTTGTCAAAAAATATTCGTATGAAATTTTAAAAAAATGACAAGCATCTTAGAAAATCAAAGCCACAATTGTTTTAAAAAAATACAATTGCGGCCTTTTTTTTCTAAGATGTTTAACATTTTTTAAAAATTTCATACGAATATTTCTCGATAACTACCAGACCAATTTCAATATTTTTTTTTTATTTTCATTCTACAAGTTTATAGGATTAAAATCAAATAAAAATTACCGAATTTGACCCAGTAGTTGTTGAGAAGCTATCGCTAGAAGTTTTAAAAAAAATACAGCGACACATATGTGCTCATATGATATACATAAAACGTGACCAAATATGTACATATTTGCACATCGCATTTTTCAGGCCACTCTAATCGCCCTAATCAGGTGTAACAAATCAATCAGTCAACTTTTTTTTTTAAATATAGTCAACTCTCTCTATAACGAACTGATAATTCCGGGAAAAAAAAAAGTTCGTTATAGGAAAATTACTATGTTTTCTTAAGAACCATGCCATTTTTTATACCGAACTATTATAAAAATTTCAAAATTTGAGCTCATTATATCAGAGTTCGTTATAGGAAGGTTCGTTATATCTGTAGAAATATTACTACTGAAACATGGATCGTCATAATTATACTTGCGTCGTTGGTATAATCAGTTCGAAGTATGAGAAAAGTGAACATATTCCTGACCAAGAATTATCTAAGAGGGTTGAAGTGCAGATAGCGAATTTTGATAACTGGTATAGAATCTGGTATGAAAAAAAATGCAAGCAGAATTTTGATAAATTTTACAAATCATAATATAATTGTTCAAAATTTGTATATATTTGGAAGAAGTTATATATCAATTTTTATTACAATTATTAGAATATTTGGTAGTTCTGATTCTAGTTTTTTTATAATTTAATAATAATGTTTATTAATAAATATACAATTGGTTTTGGGTTTTGTAGTTTATTGGTTAAGCTTTCAATTTTTACAGATAAGCTTAATAGTTCAAATTAAGCTAAAAGCAAATTTTAAATTTGTTTTTATAATTTTAAAAGGTTATAATTAAATACGAAGCCTTTTGGTTAAGTTTAAATATATGTATAAAATTGGATTAAAAATTTTTAAAAAAAAATTTATATTATGTATAATAGCAATATTACAAAAAGTTTTGATACAAGATTGCATAAATAAATTCTTGATAAAAGACAAAATAGTATTTATTTTTAATCTAAATAGTATTAATATTCTTATATTTAACTTGTAGAGTATTTAATTAAAAAGATAATCAATAAATTGTATAAATAAGTTTTTATCTAAATTAAAGATACAAATATTTGTTTAGAAAGGTAGTTTATATTAACCAAAATTAGAGCAATAATAAAAGTAGTGAATATATAAATAATCTGTAATAAAAGATTGATCTTATTAAAATTAAAAATATTTCTAGAATATAAGAGAGTTTTTACTTATTATGTAATTATAATGGCTAGGATTGTCAATTGACCATTTCTAAGGGTCCTAGAGTTAGTTATTTGACAATTACAAAAATTAAAGTAATTAATAATATAATTAGAAACCTAAGGATAGCCTATCTTATTCTCTCTAATAAAACATATATTTTATTTATAAACTATTGTTTGCTTAAACTGCTACAGACAGAAGGGTATAATTTCTAGTTGTAGTAGAAATTATACTTACTTGTTGGATACCACTATAAACCTGTAAAGAATCTCTGTAGTCATGTTATTGTTATAATACTGCTGTTAAGAAGGCTATAGTACTGTAATATTTAGTGCCTCCTAGTAGAATCGAACTACTGATCTTCTGCTTACTATCACAATATTAACTACCTTAACCAGAACTCCAAATCTTCTCCTCCTATGAGCCAACAGAAATAGAAAACTCTCTTAGACAACTCTTTTATCTAAAGTGCTCTCTCTGCCCATCTAAGCCAAGAAGCTAAATCTATAGCTATTACTTCTAAACCAACCATTATACCTGTCAAATGCAACATAAAAATCAAAAACAGACCTTATCAAGCTATTGTAGATAATGAAGTATTAATTAGTATAATTGTTTATAAAGTAGTTCAAGAACTGGGACTCAAAATTAAACAAGTCTTAACTAGCCTTATTATCTCTGCTACCAGAACTTCCTCCAGACCTCTAGGAATTATTTGAGACCTCCCTATTCAAATAAAAAATGCAACTATCTCTATTACTGTTGAAGTAGTTACTGCTATTTTCTACTCTATACTTTTTGGAAATGACTGGTCCAAGAAAGTTAAAGCTAGCTATAACTAGAAAAATGGCTGCTACTTCTTTAAGTAAAAGAATTGAAGTACTATACACCTACCATTTATAAAAATAATCAACCTCTGCCTGCTCAACCTACTGTTACCAACCCAAATGAATTAGAACTCTATAAACAGGAGTACCTAATCTCTAAAGAGGCTTATGTATTCGATACCAACCTAGATACAGACAACCCTAATGACTGGACTACCTACTAACCTCGTTAATATCATATTCGAAACTTTCTTTGAGTATGTGAAAATTGCAACTCACCTGCTTATCTCTTTGCTGAATACCCTACAAACCATTATAATCATTGTCAAGAAACTGAACATATTGTAGTTCATAGCCCTATACAAGTCCTATGATATATTTTTTGTCAAACTTGTGAACAAAATCACTTGTATAGAGACTATCCTAATAATTTTTGTCATGAATACAACAAACAGAGATATATTGCTATAGATTGTCTTTATACAACTCTACACAAACAGAATCAAACATATCAATATAGCTATGATCTGAATAAAGTAGCTGTCCAAAAAGCCTATTATTATAGTACCAGATATACTCACTACTGCTACCAATGCAAAAATTCAGAAAGAATTGAATACCTTAAAATTTTCAATAACCAACTTGTATACTGAGCTTGCTATGTGGACTTTCACATGACTTAGATCAAAGTGACCCTAGAAGAGTCTATTTTTATACCCAAAATGAAAAACAAGAAACCCTAGTCACCTGTAAAATTTGCCAATATTTGGATACTAGATTTAGGATACATAATATAGAAAGTATAACCGAAGCTTTTTGGTTCTGTAATCTTAAGTATATATATATATACAAGGCTAGCCAAAACATCCTCTATAATCCTAATTACAATCTCTGGACCCAAATCTAATATATACTACTTCATCTCAAAGTGCTGGATCCCAATATGAAATGAATCAAACATATATCTTCTGACTTGCAAAGATCTATTTGCAAGAAAGCAATCAAGATATTGCTGAAGCTTTAGAACTTCTAATGACTGACCAAATCAATTAGTCATAGAATGATGAAAAAATAAATCTTGTTCTGTGTGCTAAACTAAACTTGTTAACTAAGAATGAAACACTCCAACTACAACAAACCTTTGACTAATCTTTTGATACTAGTCACCCAGACTTTTGTAAAGAGTTAGTCCTTGCTAATCTACAACAAAGCTTCACTAACCCTGTAGACCTTTGCAAAGAATATCTCTATATTAAGCATCAGGATGAGCTTGATCAATATAATAGGTGTTGTACCGAATATACCACTACATCTCTTTTAATATTTAATCCAGAAGTAGTCTCAGAAACAACTTTAGAAGAACCAGACATATCAGTTTCAAATTCAAAATCAGATACTATACCTAATGAAACTGATAACTTATTACCAGAAACTCAACCTGACACTTTTATAGTAGAAACAAATTCCAGTCCTTTAATTACTTTTCCAAAACCAGATATTTCTTTATCTGTGATGCTACAGCTCCAACAACAAGTAGCTCACCAAAATTAGCTTATTATATAGCTGCAACAAAAAGTTGAAGCTCTTGAAACCTTTAACCAACAACTTATACAGATATGAAGAGAAGACAACCAGTATGCTTACTAGCATACTGCTCAATATGCTGCCTTTACTGAGTCACAAAATTTTTAGATAATTCTAGACAAGATGAAAAATTATCTAAGGATACAGACATTCATGACTCTACTCTCATCTCTATACCTGTATATACTATTGAAACTCTTATCCCTTATAAAGAGTATACAACTTTAAAAGAAATATCATTAAATATTGGACCTTTCTTAGAAGATAAAGGCAAAAGATTTAGATATCTATTAGAAGAATTTGTGAACCTATTCGTATTAGATATTAATGAACTAGGATGAACTAATCTAGTTACTCATAGAATTTATACTGAAGATATACTTTCTATAAATTCTTGACCTTATTCAATATCTCTAAATGAACAAGTATTTGTTAAAAAAGAAATCCAATGAATGCTAGACAACAAGCTAATATAACCATCTAACAGGCTATAGATTTCTTCAATTGTATTAGTACAAAAAAAGAATATTAAATTATACTTCTGTGTAGACTACAGAAAGCTGAACACCATAATAAAGAAAGATGCTTACCCATTATTTCAAATCGATAAGATATTAAATACTCTAGCCAAATTATATTGGTTCTCTATATTAGATCTTGCTAGTGGATATTGGCAAGTAGCTATATATTCTGAGACTGAGAAAAGACTATATTTGTTACTTGCTATAGAATATATGAATTCAATATTATACTTTTTGAACTTTGTAATAATTAATGGACAGAGTTTATGACAAAATAGCATAGAGATTTGTAGTAGTATATTTAAATAATACTATTGTATTTTCCAAGACCTTTGATAATCATTTAATCCATCTACAAAAAGTTTTTACTAGAATCAAACAAGCTGAACTCCAATTAAACATCGAGAAATGTAATTTTTGGATGCAAAGATTACCATTTCTAGGACATATAATCTCACCTAAAAGAATTGCTTCAGACCCTCAGAAAATCAAAGCTGTTTAACAAATTCTATCTTCTAAGAATATACCACAATTACAATCTTTTTTAGAACTAGTAGAATACTATTATTAATTTATTTGCAATTTTTCTGCAATTGCAAAGTCTTTAAATTCTTTAATAAGCTAAAGCAACAACTCATTAGTGCTTCTATTTTTAGCTATCTGAACTTTAAAAGATATTTATTCTAGCAACTGATGCTTTATATTATAAATTTGGTGCTACTCTTAGTCAACTTGATGCTCATAATAAAGAATATCCTGTAGCTTATGCTAGTAAAAGTTTAAAGAAAGAAGAAATGAATTATGGTGCTACTGAATTAGAATATGCTGCTATAGTATAGACTATTGAATATTTTTATAAATATCTTAGAACTACCAAGTTTATTTTAATCACTAACCATTACATTTTTAAATAGTTATATACTGCCAAATCTAAAAGAAAACTAGACTGCTAGATACTTGAGTTATAGCCTTATAACTTTGAAATTATTCATAAACCAGGATGAATACACTCTAATATCAATGCTTTTTTACAATTACAGACTTAGACCAAAGAAACCAAGTTTTTATAAATTTAGACCAATATCATTAATTATATTAATACTTAGATACAGATACAATATTTGAAAACTTTACTAAGAATCAGATGAAACAATTAATTAATCAAGCCCAATACTTTGAGATTAGATACTATTTACTTTACAAAAAGAATAGAAAAGATCCAGATAGACCTTTACGAGTTATTAAATAGACAGAAGTAGAACCAGTTCTCTACATGATGCATAAATATCCTACTGCTAGATATTTAAAAACAGATGTAACAGATTACCTAACTCAATGGCCAGAAGCCCGTACTATATCAGATACTAG